AATTGTAACCTTCTAATATTAATATTCTTTTATTTCTATGGTTTATCAAATATTTCACCCATTAAAATTGCAGCTCTATAATACAATTCCCAGTCAGGTAGGCCAAATCTTCCTCTTTCTGTAGCATCTTGCAGCAACTTCAGTTTGACTCTTGGTTTTTTCTTTTTCCATATAAAATTCACTGTTATTTTATTCAAATTATCAAAAAACTTTTTTTCCAATTTTATGGGGGCATTTTGAAAAAGGAATAATAATTTAGGTAGTACATTCATCTTTATTGCCGCTATCCTTCCTAGGAAGGGTAGTCTTAATTTATCCCATTTTCCAAATCTTCAGATATTCGTTTTATTAGTGGATCATAATTATCTTTTTAAAGTGTTGTATATCTCGCTGAAAATATAATCCCCAAATATTTAACTTTCTCTACAATTTGGATGCCCATTCTTGCTGCTAAAATTTCCTTTTGTTTATTTGTCATATTTTTAGTAATTATTTTTGTTTTCTCCCTGTTAATTTTTAGCCCCGCAAATTCTCCAAATTCTTCTAAATTATCTATCAGTTTTGGTCCTGGGTTTTGTGGTTCTTCTAAAATAAAAAGTAAATCATCCATGAAGGCTTGTAATTTAAACTCTTCTTTTTTTATTTTTAAACATTTAATTTCTGTTTCTTTCCTAATTATTCTTGCTAACACCTCCAATGTCAAAATAAACAAAAGTGGTGATAGCCGGCATCCCTGCCTAGTTCCTTTTTGTATTTGAAATTTGTTTGTTATCCCCCCATTCACCAAAATTCTGGCTTCTTGCTTTTCGTATATTTCCAATATAACATTTAAGAATTTTGGTCCTAGGTCCATATATTTAATTTGCTGCAAGATGAAATCCCATTTCATGTTATCAAAAGCCTTTTTGGCATCTAAGAACACTAATGCCACCTGTTCAACACTATGATCCTCATAATATTTCTATTAATTTAATATAATTGTTTTAAAACAGGAGATTTTCGAACACCTACATCCTACGTTCATTGTGTAAAAGTAAAATCCACATTCAGATAGAATGTTATGAAACGTTTGAGCTTTAATAAATCCTGGTTTCACTTCTTGATAGGTTCTACCTCTTTCTGTATGCAATGACAATTGCAATTCTGGGTCCCTGAAGAAGAAAATAGAAGGGAAGCCATTTTGCTGTTATGATTATCTTCCATGTGCAAAAGGAAAAATTTCTACCCAGATGGGTAAGAGCTGTGTTGTGCAAAACTATTCAGTCTTCTTAACTGTGATTCAAAATGGTAATTTCCAAACTTCCTATAAATGGCTTCTAATGTGATGATCGAACCAATGATATACCGTAGCTATATAAATATTAAAAATGAAAGGGTTACCACAAACAGAATATTTAATATAAATAGGTATTACTTAATTGGGAAAAATTAAACCAATAATTAACTCTCTCAGTCCTGCTACCTGAGCATTTCTAGAAATTAACCATGTTTTGTTTTTCCAGATGCAGTGGACTGCTTTCAATGTTCAGGAGACCAATATCCAAACAAGGCTCAAAATCTTTGTATTTTAAAAACAACAACCTTCCTGTCTTATAATGAGTCACTGGGAATCACCTTGGCCAGTGTTAGTCTCTTCCTTTCTTTCATCACAGCTTTGGTGCTGGGGATTTTCATTAATAAGCGGAACACTCCCATTGTAAAAGCCAACAACAGGAGCCTGACCTACATTCTTCTCATTGTTCTTCTGCTCTCATTCCTTTGCAGTTTGCTCTTCATTGGACAACCTGACCAAGGAAAATGTTTCATGCGACAAGCTGCTTTTGGCATCATATTCTCTGTAGCCCTTTCTTGCATATTAGGGAAAACAATCATTGTTGTTCTTGCTTTCATGGCCACCAGGCCTGGTTCCAAAATGAGGAAATGGGTGGGGAATAGGCTGGCTTTTTCTATTGTCCTATTCTGCTTCCTGGCACAATTTACCATTTGTACAGCATGGCTGACAATTTCTCCCCCATTCCCCGATTCTGACATGCACTCTATAGCTGAAGAAATTGTCCTAGAATGTAATGAAGGTTCAACCACAATGTTTTATATTGTTCTTAGTTTTCTGGGGCTCTTGACTTCAGTCAGTTTCACAGTAGCCTTCCTAGCTAGGAAGTTACCGGATAGCTTTAATGAAGCCAAATTTATTACCTTCAGCATGTTGGTCTTTTGTAGTGTCTGGATATCATTTGTTCCAATCTATTTGAGTACTAAGGGGAAATACATGGTGGCTGTGGAGATCTTCTCCATTTTGGCTTCAGCAGCTGGATTACTGGGTTGCATCTTTTCCCCCAAATGCTACATCATTATTGTGAGACCTGATTTGAATACAAAGGGACAGTTAAAAACAAAATAATCCTGGAGTTCAATTTGCTCATTGATTCAATTCAACCTTCCCCTCTATTCTTACAAAATAATACAAAGTCACATTAATGAGGATCTTTATTTTCTCCAACCTGCACTCTCTGCATTTGGTCTTTAAGACACTACCTAGAAATTGAAGCACTGCCTGAGGCCTTCCCCTGATCACTCTTATGACTGCTGTTATCACTTATGACAGCCTTGTTCTACTAAGTCATGCCCTCTCAAAGCATCTATAGTAGTAGAATTCAATTTGCTTTGATTCTCAGAATATACCAGTTACACTTGATTCCTTTTCCAAAACACATACATTTCTTGTATCCAAATAATGGATCCAGCTAACATTACCTGAAGCAAATCCATTCTAATTCCCAAAGATCTGAGTACTTTATAGTGATTGGCTCAATTAAACTTTGCTCCAGTATATGATTATTTCCTAGGCTGCTTAAGGAAAAATGATATTTATTGTTAGATAAAATATCTAGGAAACCAAAGACAAAGGAAAAACTCATGATTTTGCAGCTAGGCACTATAAATAAATGAATAATGATAGATACCACCCCCAAAGATTAAGAAGATAGGATTGAAGATTATGAAATCCAAAAGGATATCATAGTTTAGGTCTAACTTGGTACAAGTGTTTCATTAATACATGCCAGTATGAATCACAACTATAAGTAGGTTGTGGGAAAATGTACTTTTACAGAAACATACAAAGCTATGGGAGAAAAAGACCTAATAGTCCGTTGAGTCTACTTTTTAAGTTTATTTGTTTTTTCTTTTCTTTTTAATGTATTTTTAATTATTATTTTTAGATCATAGATTTTTATTTTATTTTTTTACCCACATAACTCTTTGTATGTGGAGATGGAAATGGCAATAAGCAATCACATAGTCCTTGATATTCTAAAATATTAATAGAGGATAAATTGATTGGCAAATTGACAGTTCATTTTGGCCATGTTGTTAAAAATGTTTAGCTTAATCATTTAGTTCTCAGAATATGGAATTATAATAATTAAGAATATCTAAAACAGTAGTCTATGTGCTTTGCATTAAAATATGTTGAAAATTATGACTGACTGATTTAACTTTGACTGTTTTTATAATTGTAGCCCAATTATGAACTTAACTCCCAGTACAAAGAATAAGTCAAGTAGAAGGATATAACTTGATTAGAAATAACAGAATAACAGAGGTGGAAGGGACCCTGGAGGTTTTATAATCTAACTCCCAGGTCAAGCAGGAAAGCCTATACTATTTCAGGCAAATAATTGTCCAATTTTTTTCTTAAAAACTTGTGCTGGAGTGGAGCGCCCATAACTTCTGGAGGCAAGTTATTCCAGTGATTAATTGTTCTAACTGTCAGGAAAGTTCTTTTTAGTTCTAGGCTGTTTCTTCCCTTGATACATTCCATCCATTGCTTCTTGTCCTGTCTTCAAGTCCTTTGGAAACTAGGCTGACCCCCTCTTCTTTGTAGTAGCTACTTAGATATTAGAACACTGAAGTCATATGATCCCAAATTCTTATTTTCATTAAACTAGACATACCTAATTCCTGCAATGGTTCTTTGTGTTTTAGCTTCCATTCCATTGATAATTTTTGTTGCTCTTCTCTGCATTCTTTCTAGAATGTGTCAACATCTTTTTAATATAAAATCAATCTGCTGCTTATAAATAAAGGGGGATGGAAGCCTATAACATGAAGACTTTCTTTCTTATAGCCATTCAACCACAAAATTTTCCTGGGGTGGAAAAAAAAATACAATTACTTAGACTTAATGGATCTTCCTTGTTGAAGATCTGCAAACAGATCTAGAGGGTGGCTATACATCTGGTGATGAGTTCTGTGACACTTGAAATCCTCTAAAACATCCTTTATTTCTCTCATTTTATAGATTAGGATGTACATTATAGCCAGCATGACTAAGAGAGATATTTCCTATGAACAATAAAGAATCTAACTAGATAGGAAGTTTAATTTGTTTTAATAAAACACATTTGCCATATTCGTATACATAAAGGAAGTATGACTCCAATGATAGTCTTTGCAAAATTAGATGAGAATTATAAATAGATTAGTTTTTTAAATAAAGGTTATTAAAAGAAATTAATAAATAAAGTAGAAGTGCAGAAAAAAATAAAAATAATTACAAAGAAGTGTCCTTTGTACCAAAATTTAAGTACAACAACAATTACGATTTTCAAGATGGTAGTGCATGTATATGCAGCGACTCAACACTTCAGAGATCGGTATCTTTTAATTAATTTATGGTTTGTGTATTTTTTAGTGAGTGCTCTGCTCTTTCAGTCACAAGTAGTTTACAGTTGACAAGAGCTATTAATTATTGGCAGAGTAGGCAGAGATGGTTGCATTTTTTTAATCAGTGGTCTCAAGTTACAACATTCTAGCTGAGCTGATTAGATTGACCCCATGGATTACTCTCCCTGTTAGAAAGCAAAGGAAACAGATGAAGAGATGAACAAAATGCAAACAGAAACAAGACTGGAGAGCTGGACTGCATGTAAAGTTAGGTAAAAATTCTCATAAGCTTGCACTGCCAAGTCTTTTTGTTTCAAATGTTAGATCTCTCTTTAACAAGATTGAGGAGCTGGAACTTACTATCTCTCTGCAGAAAAACATTTGGGACTGCTGTGATATGATCTTTAAAGAGACATGGCTAGACCCTACCATTCCAGGGAAGGCTATCGAAGTACAAGGATGCTCAGTACTTTGTGGAAGAGCCGAGGAGGGAGACTTTGTGTTTACATAAGTAACAATTGGAGCACAAATGTTAAAATAATGGACACTCACTGTTCTCCTGATCTGGAGTATTTGGCAGTGAAATGCTGCCCCTTTTATCTGCCTCGTGAGTTTAATATTGTAATAATAACCGCAATATATATATATATATATATATATATATATATATGTTTTCTTAAGTTTTCGCGGGTACTTACATGTATGGTGTTCGGCTTGGTTCGGGTATTTTCCCACGTCATTGTAGTTCTTTTAAAGTTGTAGCAACGTTTCAGCAGAATCTCATCTGCCATCATCAGGCTTCTGTATTGTGTCCGTCTGTGAGTCAGACTTTTACAGTAGTTTCAGATTTGAATTTGGGGCAGCCTATTGCTGTGCCAGAATGGTTTTTTCTTCATCCTGATTGGTTGGGGGTCTTGGTCTGTGTTTATTGGTCTCGGAGTTTGCTGTGTTCTGCTTGATTGGTGTCTCTAATATATATATATATATCCAATTCCTACGCAGCTGCAGAGACAACAATACTACACCAACCTGCTTCAAATTAACATTTCATCAAAGCACAGCAGCCACTAAATGTATCCTGAAAAGAACTGAAATGGCTCTACTAAGGAACGAGCTCCACAGTAAGAGATTCCGATTAGATCAGTTAAACAAAGATTTGCTAGCACTACACCTGGAACTGAGCAGCAAAATCCACCCTCTACTTTGGGACAAGATCAAACAACTTACAACTTGGAGAGCTGATTCTGAAGGCATCTACAAACAGGAAAATTTATTGAAAAAATTAAAGAAATTAGAACATGACAAGAAAACCCCCAACAACTCACAACAACACCTGAAACAATTAGTGCACAACGTTTCCAACAGAGAACTCACCAAAACAGAAACAGATGTTCTAACCAAAGGATTCAATTATGCTATAGCACCCCAAAAAATCCCCACAGAATCCATCATATGTGCAGTAGAATCCAGCCTAACTAAATTAAATACAGATGAAGCTGATAAAATAAGACACCAAGTTACCAATATCCTATGCACAAGCAAGCCACCCAAAAGCAACTTACAGAAAAATGAAATTAAAGCACTACAAACCCTGAAAAGAGATAGCAGCATAATCATCCTCCCAGCAGACAAAGGAAATGCCACTGTAGTAATGGACAGAAAAGACTACGAAACAAAATTGACAGACCTACTCCAAGACTCCACATACAAACCCATAAACACAGACCCAACCACATATCTGGAAAAATTAACCAAGAAGAAAATTATAACCAGCCACATGAGCAAAGAGATCCAACAGATGATCATCCCAAGAGAAAAATCTTCCAGATGCCCCAAACTATACGGCCTCCCAAAAATACACAAAGAAGGCATACCTCTCAGACCCATAGTCAGCTCCAGAGGAGCACCACTACAAAACCTAGCTAAATACTTAGCAAAACAGCTACAGCCCCATGCTGAAACAGCAGCTTCACATGTACAAAACTCATACCACTTCTTGGAAATGATCAAAGATCTACACGTGGAGCAAGAAGATCTGCTTGTAAGTTTTGACGTGGTTTCCCTATTCACTCAAGTCCCGATAAAAGAGACCCTTGAAATCATCAAAAATAAATACCAACCAGCTAAACACCTCATGGAACTAACAGAACACTGCTTAACCAACACATATTTCATATACAAAGGACAAAGATACAAACAAATAGAAGGAGCCCCCATGGGATCACCACTGTCACCCGTCATTGCAAACCTGTTCATGGAAGAATTCGAATCCAGAGCCCTGGCCAATGCCATCCTCAAACCCAAACTATGGTTAAGATACATCGATGACACATTCGTGATTTGGCCCCATGGACAAGAAAACCTAAACAATTTCCTAACACACCTAAACAGCGCACACCCCAAAATCAAGTTCACCATGGAAACAGAAACAAACAAACAACTACCATTCCTAGATGTACTAATCTACAAAAAAACAGATGGCACACTAGGACACACCATATGCCAGAAGAAAACACACACCAACCGCTACCTCAACGCCCAATCCCACCACCACCCAGCACAGATAAACTCCGTGGCTAAAACACTAATTACCAGAACCAAATGCCTGGCAGACAAGACACACATTAAGACTGAACTATGCACCCTGACTAAAGTACTGACAGCCAACGGCTTCCACAAAAGCAAAATCACCAGCTTGATCCACAAAAACACACTGAAACATAATAGAGACCC